TAATAATTTCCAGCAGAATAATGTTGTTTTTTTCCGCTTAAATGGGCATGCACGATCAATGGGCTCTTGTGAGTATACAGTTATAAATGTGTTCTTCAAATTGTTACCTGCTCCAACTGACACGTTATTTTTTTTTTTTTTTTTTTTGGTCATTCTGTTATTTGTAAGACCGAGTGAAAACTAAGATAATTTAAGAATATGTCATCGATTAAGTGGTAAAAACAACAAAAGTCTTGGTGAACGATATTTAAAAAAAAACAATATTGGCTATGTTATAACGTAATCCGTCATATAAAATGAAGGGTAAAACTAACTTGTCTCACGACAGTCTAAACCTATCTTTGACAACACATTCCGATTGCTCTAGTAAAATATATCATCATATTTGCAAGATCAGATCAAAGGGAAATAGAGAAAAAAACGGAGGGCCATTATCATAGTATGACATACACAAGTCACTTTTACTTAGTCCTCGAAACACACGTAAACACAGAGGTATAAACATAGGAATTACTGTACAGGTAAACTGCATACAAGCTGTGAATAGTAAGCATTACTAAAATGTGCAATAGTATCGTAGTAAAGCATCATTAAAACGTTACAGTATAATGGAGTGGGGTTTAACACAAACTCTCAAGCATAAAATGCATCTAAGGTTGTTGTTTAGGTTGTGGTTTAACACGCACCTGTTACAGGTTGTATTTTGATTCAATACCCTCTCTATACAAGATATTGATCTGACGCATATTACTGTCCCTGTGGCTACGTACGTTCAGCATTAACTGAAATTGACATAGCGATTTGAAAACATTTGAATGTTAGTCAAACACATCAACATGATCGATATCATTTTACCAATGTCATGCGCAGCAGACGGGTTTGCTTACATTTCAATTCTAATGGCAGGTGAGAAAAATGAATTTTTCTACAAAAAATATTATATACAATATTTTCGCGTGTTATCTGTAAATTTACGTTAAAATCGTTTAATTTATCCGTACAGCTGCGAAAATACATGTCGACAATGTACACCCACGTTACATGTGCTGGCATATGAGTGAACCACTGACCGAAAAGTCGACATGTCACTGAGAGCTGAAACGGAATTAACACTGCCGTAAAACTCGGCTGTGAAGCTTATCGCCAAGTACATAGCATTTTAGTCTGTGTCGCGCGTACACTTGATGATGAAAGCATAAATAACCAGAGATAACATGCCGAAATCTTTAAGTACTGTTGTCATATTCTTTCCCGTGCAGTATGCAAGTACTGCTTTTTGAGTTGATAGAATATTAAAAGAGGAGGCAGTGAAAATAGAATTCCCGCTGTTTTGAGTCGAAATTTGAAAACAAATTTCAGCACAATTGAAAATTTTAATTTTACTTGAAGTGTGTATTTGTAAATCTGGTACACACATACATATTTCCAACATGCCCGACGTCCTAAACTTGATCCGTTAAGCTTATTAGAGTAAGTTTCCATCAATGTCAGCAGGTACGTTCTTCGAGTAAGGTGG